ATTGTGTCAATCATGCCTAGTGTCAATAGACATAGTATTAAAATGTCAAGTGATTCTAGTGCTCCAAGAAGAATGAAGATAATCGTTTAGTTAATTGCAGTATTAGCCTGCCAAATGGATCTCTAGGTGTAGTTTAACATTATAATCAATTGCGTGTAATTATACAATAGTTAATGGCGCTAAAAAAAAGGTTTCCTAATTACCGTAATTTATGATAAATTCTTGGCAATCTGAAGGAGAATACAGCTTTATAAGTAATATAGTTTAACATCAATAGCTGAAAATTCGAACAAAAATAAGAATCTTTTTTTCAATTGTAATTTCTTAAACGCCTTTAATTGGTCCCGCAATAAATAAATACGTAAGTCTATTATGATCTGTAATATCAAAATGAAAGACAACTACATGTAGAGCATCATCACCGACTTGCAGGTACACTTTTGGTATACATGTCAGGATTCTTAGACTGAGGCTGATTGCTAACTGATCCTAATTCAAACGAAAAGCTAGGCTTTTAGCATTATGTTTGAGGAAATGAAGAGCAAAACTTGCCGGTAGAGTAGCTGTTTTGGGAGTATTGAGTGTATTTCGCCTTATACGGTGTCAGTGATAAAAGTAAAAATTGACTAACTTAACGTCATGTATAAGGAGGCCTCTGCAAATTATTACCGCTGAAATGAAAGAGTCGCGCAAAGACAGACGATTTATTATGCTATTTTGCTATGATGTGAGTCGTCATTTATTTTAAATTCCATACTAAAAACGAATACAGATGGATATATTAACATAACTTTTTCTCTGTTATACTGGGGCAATTGTGTACATTGAATTCCAGCTTAAACAGCATATTAGTGTGTGTGTGTGTGTGTGTGAGAGAGAGAGAGAGAGAGAGAGAGAGAGAGAGAGAGAGAGAGAGAGAGAGAGAGAGAGAGAGAGAGAGAGAGAGAGAGAGAGAGAGAGACTGATCTGGATTTTAACATAGATTTCCCAATATTCAGCTATATCGCTACGATTTCTACAGTGTGGCAGTTTACAGTGATGTCTAGCAATGGGGCATCATGCCGCATACATGTAGCATGATGTCCCACCCACTCACATTATCCAGTCACCAGGCCGACCAGTCCAAACACTAAGCTCCTAATGCTGAACGCCTAGCGAGGCAGATGTTAGTACTATTTTTATAAGTCTTTGATATGACTCGGCTTGGATTCGAACTCAGGACCTGCCTCATTCGAGGCGGACGCTCTAACCACTAGGCCACAGGAGCGGTCAACCAGATATTGGTAAAAATGTTTGGGCATTCAGACACGACGGTATATGAAAACTTGTATTTTGTTTAATGGACTTCTTTTTGATAGATTTTCAGCTTAATTCATTAATTAACATTTAGATGTCAAAATGCAATGTGTTACTGTAAAAATATCACACGATAACTCATAGTATTCAAAGTAAGTTCTTGTATATATTCTCTTATTCTTAAAGCTACAGTGGAGATGATTGTAATAAACCTTGTTTTATTTGGATTTATGTATTTAGTGTTTATTTATTGATTACAGGGAGTCGGTACTGGGATGACCATTTCTATCAGAGTAATTAGACATTTCCTAGGAGCAGGAGTTATAATGAAAATTTATTCACGAGACTTTGTGACACATTGTATTGGTTTCGTTAACTCGACTCTCACTAATTTATTAAATAAGGCAATTATTTGAATATTTTTGATCTGCGTGGTTTATAATTTGACATTGGAATAATTCCTTGTTATGGGTGTTTGGATCATGATTTACATTGCATGGAATGCAGTACTAACATTCAGTTTAAAAAAGATTGCTGAAAAATCATACAAATGTGAAACAAGAAAAAAAAAACCATGCAAGTATGAAACTGGAGTTTCGTGACGTGTGGCCATTAGGTGATTAAAGTATATTACTTGTAGTGCTTGTCTACCTTTCAGTAGACAACAACTATTTCCTTGTAATCCTTGGAAATAGCTGAAAATATTCGACCTTAAGCCACGTATACGCAAGTGCTTGATTCGCGTGGTATGAGACCAATTGTATGCACCAACATTGTCATTTCATAACCAATAAATTACACCTGAAGTCTCTCTCGAAAGTGATAGCATATAATATTGAGGTTGGGACCGTTAACTGTATCAATTTCGTCACAATAGCAGAATACCTCTTTTCCTCGGCAATACTTTCAGTAATATTACACTAAATGCAAACACTTATAACAGCAAACAGAGTTCTGAATCCAGAAATAATAGAAGCCTAAATAGATAAGTCGTACATAAACGCAGAAACCAAGCGGCACACACAAATATTACAAAAGGGCACACACACACACACACACACACACACACACACACACACACACACACACACACACACACACACACATGAAAGCATTCCTATATCTAGGACCGCTCTGGTGGCCTAGTGGTTAGAGCGTTTGCCTTAGATGCGGTAGGTCGCGGGTTTGAACCCTGGCCGAGTCATACCAAAGACTTTAATAATGGTACGAACAGCTGCCTCGCTTGGCGCTAAGCATTTAGAGGTTAGTTTTAAGACTGGTCGGCCTGGTGTCAAGATAATGTGAGTGGGTGGGACATCATGCTACGTGTCTGCGGCATGATCCTCCACTGCTAGACATCACTGTAAACTGTCGCACACTATTCATTCAGCTATCTGTACCTATTACTGTTATTTTAGTACATGTTGTTTAGACTGTTAATTATGTCTCCCCCCCCACAAAGTTTGTTAATTCTACTAATTGCATTCCATTTGTTGGGTACTCGTGTGTACGGATAGTTACTGAATGAATATATTTAGTGAATATGGATTTTAAAGGTATTCCGGTGCATAATAGCAATTCAACATACAATGCTTTGTGACCGAAAAATTGCATTTTTTGATTTTATTTTTGAAGAATGCTGAGATTTCATAACTTTCTCTCAGTTGGGGTACCGAGATTTGTCGACATTTTTGGAAACAGAGGTGAGCTTATTAACATCCATAGGTTGACTTTTAAGCCACGCCTGTTCTGGGAATAGGGTACAATGGACTCATAGTCTAGTTTTACATATGGACACACCAGCTCTCTTTCCATTAACCGATACTATTAATCTCATTTGTAAACGAGCCCATATGAAATACATTGGCCACAACCTTTTTTCCCAATGCCACTAGGGCAATCGATTAGAGAGATAACCGCCAAATTGTTATTATTACTAAGAATAATAACAGTCAATCAGTGATGAAAATACTGTGCAAGACATTTAGGGGATTATTTGGAACCATCAGATTCGTGATATGTCAACATGTTGATACATCAAAACTATTGAACTGCACACACTCTACGTAACGCGTACCAAATATGTGATAGGATGAGAATAATGTGTGTGTGTGTTTGTGTGTGTGTGTTTATGTGTGTGCTATTTGTAGCTTTAACAATTCGCTACCATGTCTGCATTGTGGCGGTTTATAGTGATGTCAAGTATTCTAAATGCAGAGAGCCTAGCGAGGCAACTGTAAGTACATTTTTTAAAACTCTTTGGTATGTCTCGGCCAGAATTCGAGAAATCATCATACCGATTTAACTTGAGATTATCGTAAGACGATAACATTAAAGGAAATGGCTATTACCATGAAAACATTACTGTAAAGCATGATAATACATTACACTGAGAAGAGTGCGTATTATCGTAAAAATATTAAAGTGAAGCATGAGAATATTACATCAATGTATTTGTCATTATCATGAGAATATTACACCGATGTGACTGTGTTTATCATGAGAATATTACACCGATGTGACTGTTTATCATGAGAATATTACACCGATGTGACTGTGTTTATCATGAGAATATTACACCGATGTGACTGTGTTTATCATGAGAATATTACACCGATGTGACTGTTTATTATGAGAATATTACACCGATGTGACTGTGTTTATCATGAGAATATTACAACGATGTGACTGTGTTTATTATGAAAATATTACACCGACGTAATTATCATTATGATGAGAATATTACACCTATGTGACTGTGTTTATCATGAGAATATTACACCGATGTGACTGTGTTTATCATGAGAATATTACACCGATGTGACTGTGTTTATCATGAGAATATTACACCGATGTGACTGTGTTTATCATGAGAATATTACACCGATGTGACTGTGTTTATTATGAGAATATTACACCGATGTGACTGTGTTTATCATGAGAATATTACACCGATGTGACTGTGTTTATTATGAAAATATTACACCGACGTAATTATCATTATGATGAGAATATTACACCTATGTGACTGTGTTTATCATGAGAATATTACACCGATGTGACTGTGTTTATTATGAGAATATTACACCGATGTGACTGTGTTTATCATGAGAATATTACACCGATGTGACTGTGTTTATTATGAAAATATTACACCGACGTAATTATCATTATGATGAGAATATTACACCGATGTGATTCTGTTTATTATGAGAATATTACACCGATGTGACTGTGTTTATCATGAGAATATTACACCGACGTAATTATCAATATCATGAGATTATACCGATGTGACTGTGTTTATCATGAGACTATTACACCGACGTAATTGTCAATAGCATGAGATTATACCGATGTGACTGTGTTTATCATGAGAATATTACGTAATTGTCAAAATCATGAGATGACACCAATGTGACTGTGTTTATCATGAGACTATTACACCGACGTAATTGTCAAAATCATGAGATGACACCAATGTGACTGTATTTATCATGAGACTATTACACCGACGTAATTGTCAAAATCATGAGATGACACCGATGTGACTGTGTTTATCATGAGAATATTACACCGACGTAATTGTCAAAATCATGAGATGACACCGATGTGACTGTGTTTATCATGAGAATATTACACCGACGTAATTGTCAAAATTATGAGATGACACCAATGTGACTGTGTTTATCATGAGACTATTACACCGACGTAATTGTCAAAATCATGAGATGACACCAATGTGACTGTGTTTATCATGAGAATATTACACCGACGTAATTGTCAAAATTATGAGATGACACCAATGTGACTGTGTTTATCATGAGACTATTACACCGACGTAATTGTCAAAATCATGAGATGACACCGATGTGACTGTGTTTATCATGAGAATATTACACCGACGTAATTGTCAAAATCATGAGATGACACCAATGTGACTGTGTTTATCATGAGACTATTACACCGACGTAATTGTCAAAATCATGAGATGACACCGATGTGACTGTGTTTATCATGAGAATATTACACCGACGTAATTGTCAAAATCATGAGAATATTACACCGATGTGACTGTGTTTATCATGAGAATATTACACCGACGTTATTGTCAAAATCATGAGATGACACCAATGTGACTGTGTTTATCATGAGAATATTACACCGACGTAATTGTCAAAATCATGAGATGACACCGATGTGACTGTGTTTATCATGAGAATATTACACCGACGTAATTGTCAAAATCATGAGATGACACCGATGTGACTGTGTTTATCATGAGAATATTACACCGACGTAATTGTCAAAATCATGAGATGACACCAATGTGACTGTGTTTATCATGAGAATATTACACCGACGTAATTGTCAAAATCATGAGATGACACCGATGTGACTGTGTTTATCATGAGACTATTACACCGACGTAATTGTCAAAATCATGAGATGACACCAATGTGACTGTGTTTATCATGAGAATATTACACCGACGTAATTGTCAAAATCATGAGATGACACCGATGTGACTGTGTTTATCATGAGACTATTACACCGATGAAATTGTCATTATCATTGAATATTACACAGAGGCAACTGGATATTAGCATAAGAACATTATTTTGAGGCATGAATATATATTACACTGAGAATTGTGGGCATTATATTGAGAATGTTACACCGATGCATATGCATAATCGCGAGAATGTAACATGGATATAATTGGCATTATTAAGAGAATATTATACCAATATAATTTTCCTTATAATGAGAACATTACACCAATGTACCTGTTGCATTATCATGATACTATTACACAGACGCCAATGATTATTATCACGAATATTTATTACGCCCAGGTAGTTTATGGATTATTACAAGACTATGTCTTCGAAGCAATTGGACACCACCATGAGAATATTAGTGAGGTAACTGGATATTATCATGAGAATATTATACCGCGGTTGCCAGGACATTATCTGTAAAATATTACACCGCGGTAACTTGAACATTATAACGAGAATATTACACTTTTGAAACTGGGACATTATGCTAAAATATTGCACAGAGGAATTTGGGTATTATTATGAGAATATTACACTGAGACAGCATGGCATTATCATGAAAATATTACAGCAAATAAACTGGGTAATAATATGAGAATACTACACTAAAGTAACTGTTTGCATTTTCATGAGAATTATACACCGATTCAACTGGGACATTATCATATGAATATATTACACTTAGGCAATTGGGGAATTGTTATGAAAATATTACAAGGAGGAAACTGGCTATTCTCATGAGGAAATTACACCGAGGTAACTGAGCATAGTCATGACAATATTTCAGTGAGGCAAATGGGCAATATTACAGTCGTACGCCGAAGTAATTGTTTGATTATCATGGGAATATATTACACTAAGTAAACTGGGCGTTTTTTATGAAACCTAAAGTCAAACAAAATTACACATAAAAGTGAAAATTCAAAAGCATATCTTACGTGAGAAAAAAATTACTATTTAGCAAAACATGTGGTGAATAAAACAATTATTTGCCTCTGTTTCCACTATACAGCTCTCAGATTCGTGATAAACAATTCGTTTTATCAATAACACTTATTCGTGTTAATTTTTTCTTTTAATCGTTCAGAGTGATTCGTAATAACTTTGTTTTCCATCCATCAAACAGATTCGAATAAATCTATGCTTTATATCGATGAAAGTGAGATTGAGTCAAAATTGTGCAAGTCTGCTTGTATTTGAAGTTTTGGAGAATCCATAAGTTTCTTGAACACAGAGGAGATAATTTATTATTCATGATGACTTTTATTGCCAATAATCAAATATCAATCAGACACGCCATTTTGTTGGCATTCCATAATGCACATCACTGCTGAATAACTAGTCAGACTGAGCCGATCCAAAACAGACCACGATATTGCGTCGTGCCAGATTGTTGAACTATGACAATTTATAAACATTAGTGACACGAAGACCAGTCTGTGCATATAAACAAAACATGAGATACCATTTTTATTTCTATATTGGTAAGGTAAATTTGTTTTTGGCAATAACGTTCTACATAATTCACGTTTATCTGCAATGTGGACACAACCTCCTAATACGCTGAATGTGAATCAATACAATTAAGCTTCATGTTGTCTCATTTCCTTAGATCCAATATATTTAATTAAATAAAAAA